TTATATATACAATGGAATACTACTTGGCAATGAGAAAGAATGAAATGTGGCCTTTTGTAGATATAATTTTTTTTTTTCAACGTTTATTTATTTTTGGGACAGAGAGAGACAGAGCATGAACGGGGGAGGGGCAGAGAGAGAGGGAGACACAGTATCGGAAACAGGCTCCAGGCTCTGAGCCATCAGCCCAGAGCCCGACGCGGGGCTCGAACTCACGGACCGCGAGATCGTGACCTGGCTGAAGTCGGACGCTTAACCGACTGCGCCACCCAGGCGCCCCGATATTATTTTTTTAAAAAGCAAACGGAAATTCACTAACTTAAAAATATAGTATCTGAAATGAAAAATTCAAAGGATGGTCTTAACAACAGAATGGAGATGACCAATAATGAGTAAGTTTGAAAAGAGTTCACTAGAAATGATCCATTCAAAAGAGGAGAAAATTATATGGAAAACAAAGGAATGTGTGGGAAAATATTTTATGTAATTGTATGTAACTGGAGTCTCAGAAGGAGAAGAGAGAGATAATGAGGCAGAAAACAAATTTGATGAAACAATGGACAATTTGCCAAATTAGGTGAAATACATAAATTTACAGATCAAAGAAGCTCAGGAAAAGTAAGAAAAATTTGAAGGTAAACGCCTCTGTATCAGGTGATATAGGTACATCTAACGTGCAGTATGGCTAGGGAGTCACTAATCTACGGAATGAGGCAGCAAGTCTGCAGTAGAGCTGGGGCTCAAGTGCTAAGCCCTGTGACTCAAAGTGTGGTCTGAGAACAAGTAGCATCTGCATCCTCCAGTTAGAGATGGAGAATCTTGGGGTGCCTGGTGCTTCAGTCAGTTAAGCGTCCAACTCTTGATTTTGGCTCAGGTCATGATCTCATGGTTTGTGAGATTGGGCCCCAACTGGGCTCTGCACTGACAGCCTGTCTCTCTCTCTTTCTTTCTCTCTCTCACTGCCCCTCCCCTGCTTGTTCTCTCTTGCTCTTTCTTGATCTCTCTCTTGCAATAAAATAAACATTTAGAAACAAGACAAAACAAAAAAAATAAATGTAGAATCCCACCCCCACCTCAGACTTATGAAATAAACTATGCATTTGAACAAGACCCCTGAATGTTTCTGTGCGCATTAAATTCTGAGAAGCATTAAGGCACCTGAGCTCTCTGGAGTCCTTGAATGGCTGGGTTAAGGCTATACTTAAAGGTGCCTTCCTGGCCTTAATCTCCTCCAGTTAACCAAGAAGGCTTCAATCTTAATTTAGTTTTACTAGTATGCCTCCCTAATGGAAAGGGACATTTTTTTATTACTATGCATTAAGTTGGGTTTCAGGTGAAAGCCAGACTTCTCAAAAGTCTAAAGCTTTTGAACAGAAGAAAGCTTGTTCCATTATAGTGCTCATATACAACAGCTTTGGATTCCAGCTCTATATTTAGAACTACTCAGGGAGGTTTAAGTATACTGGTCCACACCAGATCTACTGAATTGTAATTTCTGGGGGTGGAACCACAGATTGGTATGTTTTAAAGCTCTATAGTGGATTTAGTGTACAACTAGCTTTGAGAATCACTATGGATGGATTCTCAGTTTATTAACTCCTATATAACAATGTTTCGTTTAATGTAAATACAATGGAGGCAGTATAGCTTCCAAGTTTAGCTTTCTTGAAAACTGTTACAAATCATTTCATTAAAATGTATTAATCTGCATTATAAGGTCAATTAAATATTTAGTACATGGTAAGGTGGTATACATTTCAGTTCATTCCTATTTCATAGTTAACATTTGATTATGTGTTTTTTTTATTTTTCAAGATATGTATGTATGTATGTATGTATTCATTTTCTTTCCAGTTTTTATTCAAATTCCAGTTAGTTAACAGTGTAATATTAGTTTAAGGTGTAGAATTTAGTGATTCATCACTTATATACATCTGCTGCTCATACAAGTGCCCTCTTTAACCCCATCACCCATTTAGCCTAATCTCCCCATCCACCTCCCTTCTGGTAACCCTCAGTTTGTTCTCCATAGTTAAGAGTCTGTTTCTTGGTTTGCCTCAACTTTTTTCTCCTATGTTCCTCTGTTTAGTTTCTTAAATTTCACATATGAATTAAATCATATGGTATTTATCTTTCACTGACTTATTTCGCTTAGCATAATACTCTTTAGCTCCATATATGCTGCTCAAATGGCAACATTCCATATTTTTGGGGGGCTGAGTAATATTCCATTGTATATAATTATATATATATGTATGTATATACATATACATATATGTGTATGTATATGTATATGTGTGTGTGTATATATATATATATATATATATATATATATATATATACATACAACAACTTATTTTTTCATTCATCAGTTGATGGACATTTAGTCTCTTCTCATAATTTGCCTATAGTTGATAATGCTGCTATAAACATCAGGGTGCATGTATCCCTTCAAATCAGTATTTTGTATCCTTTGGGTAAATACCTAGTAGTGCAATTGTTGGATCATAGGGAAGTTCTATTTTTAACTTTTTGAGTAACTTCCACGCTGTTTTCCAGAGTGGCAGCACCAGTTTGCATTCCCACCAACAGTGTAAGCAGGTTCCCCTTTCTCTGCATCCTTGTCAACACTTGTTGTTTTCTGTGTTGTTGATTTTAGCCATTCTGACTACTGTCAGATGATATCTCATCATAGTTTTGATTTGTATTTTCCTGAAGATGAGTGATATGTCTGTTGGCCAACTGTATATCTTCTTTGCAAAAATGTTTATTCATATCTGCTGCCTGTTTTTTAACAGTAGATTATGTTAATAAAGTAATGACAAGCATATAACTAGTAATACCAATATTTAACTTTATGAAATAAACATTTCATTTCACAGTGGTTTTGCCTTGTCATGTCTTTATGTAACTGTAAAAATTAGTTTGTACTCCCTTAGTGCCTGCCAGCTAAATACTGCTGGGATCTATAGGGTACTACTTGGTGGGAAGACATTAGCTGTCATTAAAAATCCATGAAATAGATATATTCCAATACAATTTTCTGGGCCAGGGGCCAAAACTGCATTTTCAGGTGAAATGATAAACATAGATTACACTTTGCTCTTCAAACACAAGTTGGGAATGACTAGGAAATCAGATAACTAAATAGAGTGGGTGAGCATATAACTTAGTTGAACAAAAGAAAGCATGTGACTTAAGTAACATGAGCAGTCTTAACTGTAAATCACTGCCAAATAATTTTAAAAATAAATTCCACAAAGTATAAAAAAGCTGAATAATATTCAGTTAAAACCACCCCTCAAATATATAGTTTTTATTTCCATCTGAAAATGAAATCTTCAAGCACAGAATTTCATGGCAAATTGAATTTGGTTATTCCTAAGTTATCTGTTTGATTCCTTAGATTTCTCATTTATGAAGAAATATCTGTCCTTTAAGTAAGCATTGCAAAAATTATTTGTGTAAGATATTATTAACATATTGTTCAGAATATGTATGACATTTTCAAGTACAAAGATAAATGTAAATGTTATCAAAGCCACACAGTCTTTGAGATTACTGTTCTGCCTTGTTAGGAAGAGCTCAACACAGATACTAGAAGATTTCTTTTAAGCCTGACCTTCTACAATCAGAACATGTCTGAAAACTGATGATTTAAATTCTTAATTTATGTCATTAGGTAGTATCAACATAAAATCCAAGAGACCTCAGGCTACAAATGATCTTATTTAAGAAAGTTTCCTCTTTTCTATTAGGCTTAGAGTCACTGTTAGACCAAATCTTTAAGTTAAATGAGAGTCCTTAATGGCCTATGAAGAAAATCCATAACAGTAAATTATACCTAAATATAAAGTCATTATATATTTATGATTAAATGCTTAATAAATGATGAGCCATTTAACTGAGAACAATCTCATTATGTGCACATTAGGAACTTTTCTCATAAATCTGCTACTGAAATATTGCCATTTTATCATTTGTGAATCTTAGAAGCAAATCATATAGGAAAAAAACTGGTCTTGGACAGGTTTTGGGGAATTTAACAATCATTTTAAATAGGTAGCTGTTTTTACCCACTGGGCAATTATAGTTTATTTTGTTCTTTTACGGTTTTTAGAGTAGGTAGAACAGTCTCTGCTTCCATTAACGTTAAATATCATGTTAAGAACGTATAATCAAACGTTCAAGGGGCATGATTATGAACCATATGGAGGGTAGAGAAAATTGCTCAGAATTGGTACTGCCTCCAGACTTTTCTAGTAACTCCCAGTATGACCTCAGGTTATGTACTTCACTGATGTGGGCAGATGCCTCATCTTTAAAATCTGGAGGTTTAACTAGATCTATTCTAGGGTAACTTTCAGTTCTCAAAATATCCTATGGTTTAAATTCTGGTTTAGTCATGATGTAGTGTGAAAAATGAACAGGGCATTTCAATTTTGAATTCTGATTTGGAGAATACTTACAGTTAAGGCTGGTGGTCCTGGAGGTCCTGTATCTCCCTAAAATAGGTTAAAGAATAGTTGCAGTTACCAGTGATCCTTTTCTGCACATTTTATTTTTAAGTTTTCTGAATGGATAGAAGCAATATAGATATATATATGTATATATGTATATATACATGTATATATGTACACACACACACACACTTTGAAGGAAAAAATAGAATTTCATCTTGATAAATTCTCCACACGGTGAAAAATGCATGATGTGCTTTTAGCTCTCATGATATAAATATCACCTTGTGCACCCCCATACTTTCTATAACAGCAGAACTTGTTTTGAAAAGCTAAAATAATCTAATTTTCTATTCTTTTGTCTACGAATCCAAAATTAGAAAGAATATCTCTTCAAATATGGTTACTTGCCAGTGGAGCAGCTGGGAAGTGTCACAACGACAGATAATTTTTCTGACAAAGTTAGTATGAGGATCAGCAGAAATAATAAATGGATCTCCCCACTTCATGCCTCCCAGCTGCAAGAAGCAGTCCCATTGCCTCTTACAAAGCTCTGCTAAATTGACATTGCACTTGCTATCAATTTTAAGAGGCCTTGCCTATATTTATGTATTTTTAAATACAAAAATTGCTTTGCTGACCTATGTGAATACAAATTAACAAGTGGATATATTGAGAACCCTTTCAAAATCTTTAAAAAATGGCTCATATAAAAGTTTACTATTTTCTGATTTATATGTCATCTATATGCTTTATTGTATCAGGACCCTGGTTTATTTCGTAAGAACTCTTAACCATTAAGAGCAAGCATCATTGCTATAATGCTCTTTATGTGGTCATTATAGAGAATTTATACTGTGTGGTATAAAGCTCTGAGATGTGTTCTCATGTTGAAAGTATCTCTATAAATTTTTCTTTTCTCATCTGACATAGTCACCTCAAAAGTAAAGACTTAGCATTGAGTAATCATTACTTTTTGGAACAATTGAATAAAAGTAGCCAATACTTGTTAAGGAACATCGACATAGCTTAAATCACTCACTGAGGACTGATTTGCAAGATCAACTTTAACATAGAGGTAAATATTGAAGACAGACGAGGATTTCCAAATGTGCTAAGAATGGAGAACAAAATACAGTATGAACGCCCCACACATACAATTCTTATCAAAATGGGGTCATGCAATGACCTTATTCTATGACTCTTGGTTTTAGTATTTCTAAATCTCTTTTCAAGGTCACTGCCAATATATCATGATATAATGGCATGTGAGAAAAAGTGGCAGGAAATGAAGCATTCAGACTAAGAATGAATTAGGAAGTTAACCTCCTTCCCGCTAAAGGCCACCTGCTTCAGCATTATGGTAGCAGTTCAGTGCTACTGGCAAAATTCCCCGATACAAGACACAGTTGCTAATTTGGCAATGGAATAGCTAATACTGTTAAGTGAGGGAGAGAAAGTGAAATCTTATAAACACAAATTAATGTCAACTAGCAGTTGTGCTTTTAGTTTCTTCAAACTAATTAAATGAACCAAAAGGCTTTTCTTCAGATGCTTTTAACATACAGCCTTTGGTTAATTTTAGCAAAATTAACTTTTTCAATGAAAAGTCACTGCATGTGTTCTCAGAATTTTCTTAAGAAAAACTGACATTTTTCTGGGTGGATACGATACCTTTTCTCCTTTTGGGCCAGGGGGGCCCTGAGGACCCAAGTCACCTTTCAAACCCTGTAGGAAGAATACAACCAATGTGATTTCTGTATGCAATTCACAGAAAGCTGACATTTCTAACAAGTCATTAGTCACAAGATAAATCATAATTTACTGAACTCCCAAATCTCATTCTTCAGTTTGTAGTATAGAAAGAAAGAGAGACAACTGGTACTAAAATGATAAGCAACATCTGTGTTGTGGTGAGTACAGATACATTAAATCAGCATGAGTCCTGAATACTGCATATTTGTGCAACTTTGCTTCCTGCTAAAATTACATTAATTCACCATCTGGGAGAACATCATTTAAATCTATATGAGCTTTTAAGTATCCACTTTGGATTAAATTTGTGGATATTGTAAATACCTTTGATTTAGCATTGATTTGGCCTTTATAAAGCTTGCCAAAAAAATCAAGAATTAAATTAAAAAAAAACATTTTTATGTCTCTATCAAGTAATCTAATTGTGGGAGAAAACAAATGAAGGACATATTCTTTTCCTATCACTCACAGGCTGAAGCTACAATGTAGTCTCTTTCCTGTTTCAAAGTATGTTTTAGTTCTCTAATTGATAATTTTTTTTACTTGGATTTATAAAGATATTAAATGAAACTATACGAGACATAGAGTATCAGATGAATATATTCATGAATCTTCTGGACTCTTGGGTGTTTTAGTGGGTATTTAGTTGATCAGACTCAGAAATGACAGCTCCCAGGAATATCACAATAGATTTCACCGGAGGGAATCAGTTCTATAGCTGAAGATACCCACAGTGTAAACAGAAAGAGAGTTAGATCGACATCCTGACTGTGTGGTAAATAGAAAAAAATATCTTTCTTCATTCTTGATTTAATACACTGGATGAATGGAGAACAATAATGGAAAAAAGAAATAATTCTGAAGTCACAGAATGCACAGTATATCTACATATCTTACTTTTCCTGGCTCAGGGATCCGTCTATCACTGCTCTGACATTTTGTAGTCAGTAAACAATGCCAAATGCTATCACCTGTAGCTATTCAATATAGAAGTCAATGATGAATTTAAAGAAATGAAAGAAAACTGGATACTTAAAATAATCTTGTTGCAGAGATTATGTGAAAACTGTAATCTTACACTTTAAGAAAAAAAAATCTAATGGATAAAAATAGCATCCAAAAGGCAAACAAACGAACAAACAAACAAAAAACACTTCACAATTGTAGAAATACCTTTCAGGATAAAACTCATAGCTACGGTCTTCCATTGTTACCTTGGAGTATTTTATTTATTTACTTAGAAAAGGGATGAGTGAAAAAGTAAATCCTATTTGAGATGTAATATTCTCTTATTATTTGAAATATCCATTCCTTCCCAAATAAGCAAAATGAGACTAGTCTCCATTGAAAAGTTCTGAGAGTACAAAACATAATGGGTTTTTAATATTTATTTTAAAAAATACAAAATGGCTCATTAATGATTTTTATATTGATGATATATTAAAATAGTATTTTGGATATTTTAAATTAAATATATTTTTAAATTAGTTGCATCTGTTTCCTTTTATTTTTCTTAACATGGCTACTGGAAAATATATTTGTATTTGTCTTGATTATAATATCATATTTAGAAATATACTGTGTAAGTATTAGATATTAAACATTTTTCTATTGGATAGTGCTCCTTAGAAACTGACAAAGACCCTCTCTTCAACCAAACTTCAGTCAGACTCTTCTGACTCCTCTTCTTGACTAGGCCTCAACCTTGACCTCTGTCTTTTTCTGTCTTTGGCTTGCTGAGACCAGTTTTAGCAAAAATCTTACTCAATCAGTTTACATAGCATCCCCCACCCTTAACAGCAGATCGAATTCCTCATCCCCCATCTCTACTGTGTAAGTCTTTGGCCTGCCTTTAGCAAGAATCCTATAGTTCAGTTATCAAGAATCCTCCCACCCTCAGTGTTTGCTCTTAGTAATTTTCCATTCATTGAGCCTGTCACTCCGTTGGCTATAAATCCCCACCCGTCCTTATTGTATTTGGAGTTGAGCTCAATTTCACTCCTCTATTGCAATGCCCCTATTCTACTAGTCTTGAACAAAAAGTCCTCCTTACCATCTTAATAAATGTGAGAATAATTTTTTCCTTAACAGGGTCAAGATTCCTGCCTTCACGGAACTCAGGTTATAAGAGGAGAGTGACTGATGATAAACAGGTCGATAGGCTAAATGTGCTCTGCCTGAAAGGGAGAGAGCTGGTATGTCAGTTGGGGTCATCAGAAACAGTTTCTGTGTGGAGGTGACATTTGTTGTTTCAGAGGATCCAGCCATGCAGTGATCCAGGGGGAAAGTATTGAGGTTAGAAGGCACAGCAAGCACCAAAGCCCCCAAGGTGAAGACAGTGTCATGAGCATGCAGACAGGGAGCAGGAGATCAAGTTAAGGGGTCAAAGCATGTAGTGAACTGCAGGTCATGGTAAGGAGGATGGGTTTTTGAACCTAAGTGTTTTAAGCAGAAAAACGACATGATGTGACTTTGCTTCAAAAAAATCACTTTGACTACAATGTAAAAATAGATTGTAGGCAGCAAGAGTGGAAGCAGAAAAGGGGCTGTCACAGCTTTTGAGGCAAGAGACGAGGGTGGCTGGGATAGGGTGGTGATACTGGAGATGGAGAGGAGAGGTCAGAGACCGCACATACTGGGAAGTGGAAGAGGCAGATATGTTGGAAGAGGGGGCAGAGAAAAGGAGATGTCAAGGCTTAAGTAAGTGATAGGAGGTTGTACCATTTACTGGGCTGAGAAAATTACTAAGAGTTTTCTTTGGGCTTCTTGGTGTAACTCTATCCAGAGAAAAGACAAACATGAAGAAGAAATGGCTGAGAGAGCCACCAGGTATCCATTTATTTATAAATGGATATCGTGCATGGTCAAATATTGTTGACCATGCACAAACATAGAAGACTAAACTCTATATTCTATGACAACACGAATATGAAAATGTTGTTTTTAAAAAGGGAACATTAAATAAAACACTCAGGAAATGGTTAACTCTGGGGCACAGGGTTACAGTGAATTCTGTGTGTAGCAGTGTTCCAGTTATTACTATTATTCATAATCAACACACATTACGTGTTAAAAAATTATGTTAGGCATAAAATAATACATTACAATTCTTTCAATATTCCTGCCTAAAAAAACTAACACTAACTGCAACTTCTGGGAAGGATTTATTGGCAAACGAATCAGCTAACCATCCCATTTCAATCAACTATAGTCAGGAAGCGGTTGGAGAAGTAATGCAACCCACTACAAGCTAATGTGAATGTTGAATACTATTATGGAAGTATACAGCAAGTGTGAAGGGAACAGTTCACAGAGAGGCCTAATTCTACTGGAGGTACTGAAGATTTAGAGATGTGGAGTTCAGGAGGGTGAGGAAAAGAATGGCATTTTATGTAAAATTCTAAATTGTTTAAGCTTCCCTATAATATAGGTATAAATAATAGTTATCTTTAAGGGTTGTTCTGAGAATCATAGGTTATAAAAAACAGTACATTGTAGGTACTTAATAAATGTTGCTTTTACTCTTCAAGTCCAAGTTTAAGGGATAATTAATAGTTCATTCTGTTCAGTTTTGTACTCAGTTTGATGGATATGGAACAAGCATCCTTTAACTCACATCGGATAAAATGCAATTGAGAAGTACTGCTTCATCAAGCTTCTTCTACTTTTGCGGCCATCGAAATTGGGCCCATGTAACTCATGTCCTCTTGTGACAAAGTGCAATGTTTTTTAAGGCCATGGCATCATAATAAGCTCTGAGAAACAGATCAGTAATACTTTGCTTAAGTGCAATTTTTCTCCTCATGTCACACTGGTGCTGCTATCAATGGTTATGGAGTACTGGAGAGAAAAAGACGCAGCACTCACCACAAAGCATAAAGAATCAAACGCAACAGTCTATGAGTTCAACATTGAGTAAGATGGGAATATATTACCAAGGTTCTCAATAATATTCACATATATAAAGATTCTCAAAAGCACAGTAGTTGACTCTGGATGTTATGTGCAGACAAGAACTCTTATCTAAAGGCAAGGTGGAAGCAGAAGGACAGTATTATATCTAGAATTATAAAAGCAGGTAGACAATGAAATTAAATTTACTGGAAGATCTACTACTCATGGTATATAGCATCTTTAAAAATCAGAAGATGATACCAAATAATAGTTGTTAAAAATTTTAACCTATCAATTAATTCTTTGCCTTGTCTTCCCACTGACTGTATCTTGTTCCCTAGCAATGGCACCAGCTGTTGCCAGCTGATATCTCAGCTTTGTGATTTCAATATTTTTGTATTTAATAGTACAGATTGCATTGGGATAAGGAGATTAACATGATTATTTTAGAAACATCACATGCTGTAATTTTTATAAAACATGTTTGAAAGACAGTAAGAAAGACGCAGAGGAAGAGTCTAAACTCAATGATTGAAATTGACTTTTCTAAGATTATGTAACCCCACAAAAGCACATAACTGAAATGATATTTCTATTAAAGATAAATGTGTTTTATTTAACCCAGTTTCAAATAATAGCAAAGGTTTATGTGTTTATATAGCTCTTACTGTACACGAGACACTGTCCTAAATGCATGATAACCCTGTTCACCCTCAAAAACAAACAAAAGTAGCCTTGAAGCAAGTGCTATTAATATTATCATCCCATTGTGCAAATGAAAAAAGTGAGGCACAGAGGGGATAAGTAATGTTCCAAGTAGTATGCCAGTTAGGCAGTGGCAGAGCTGGGACCGGAGCCCAGGAAGTCTGGCTTTAAAGGTTACATTAACAACTTTATGAGACTCCCTCTCAAGTCTGTTCTAAAATGCAATTGTTGAATATATCTCATAGTAAGTCACAATCAAAATCATTTAAGAATGTGTGTAAAGCTGAGGTCTTGTTTTTTAAAGACTAAATTCACGCAACTCAAATTTCTGAGAATTTTATTATGTTTGGTATGCATTATTTAAACTATAAGGGAAATATGAGCAGGTATTTAATTCAATAACTTTAGTCCAATGCTCCAATGCCTTGGAGATCAATCCAAAGTTTACATGCACTTATACTACCAAGGATGCATTTAGAAAGATTTCAGAGAATTTCCTTGTCCTAATGATTAAGAGCTGCTACATTAGCTGGTGAGCCTTAGGGATGCTAAACATTCTCCTCTCCCAAGACAGCCCCACATAACAAAGAACTGTCTTACCCAGAATGCCAATAGTGTCCTACCGAGAAAGACTGAACTGCTGAATATTTCCCTCTATATCAGGTTCATATTTTCCAAAGTGAGCTTGCCTATTTTTTGGCAAAGCTAGCACAGAAGAAATTATTAAAAGATACATTTACATCAAGATATTTGTGATATGCAAGAATAAAGACCATTACATTGGCCTTTTGAATTTAGTAGCGTTTCTAAATTCTTCCAAATTTCTTTGACTTGGAAAGTAGCTGGAGTGAGCTGGCCCATTGGGTTTATTCACTCTGTATTCCAGCAGAATGTTTCTCAAGTTAGAATCCCCATCATGGCTTGGCTTGACTTTAATTCAAATTGAAATCGCTAATATAATGCCCTGCATTCTCTAAGAATGTGTACCTGTGCTTATTGAAAGTCGGAGTGAACTGTCATAAATGCTGAATGATTTCAATTTGCAGAGTCAGTTTATCTTAGCATTGAAAAATAGGCAATGACAATTGTGGCATGATTTAGTGGGAAAATAAGAGACTTTTCGGTCAAACATGTAGGGTTAAAAGCTGATTTCACCATTTTCTAAAAGAAAAAAAAAAGTCGCTTAATTTCCCAAACCTTTATTTCTTGCCTCTGAAAATAGGGATGCTATCACCCCTTGCTCTGGCTAGCCCATAAACCTAGAGAAAGGATCAAATTTCAGATTCTTGTGGAAACAGTTTATGAATGATAACACATTAACAATACCACCATCAATGATGCAATAGCAGAGCACTGAATTCTTCACTCTTAGTGAGAGTAGAGGGGACAAAAGGAGAATTTCCATTACTTTTTCTTATTTCTCCTTAGTCATGACTCCTGAATATCTTTGGCAAAACTGAGGAAGGGAAAATATATCATCTACATATTAATTAAGTAACCAAGTGAGAAAAGTTAATGTGCTTTGTCCTGCTTTATGATGTACCTAATGAGCTACATTAAACAATTATGGTGCTAAAGAAATGACACCCCTGTGATTGAGGGCATGCAAAGAACTCTTCCAAAATCCTTCTCAAAGAGGAAAGGTCACGCTGCCCACTATACTATGTACTCTCTTAACAGGTTGGTCTTAATCAGGTTTGGAAATCCTACCACAGCTGTCAGAACACTGGGCATGTAGTAGGCACTCAAAATATATGTGTTTATCCTCAGTTTTTAAAAGTCTTAAAAACTGAAAATAAACTGAGGGTTGATGGGGGGTGGGAGGGAGGTGGATGGGTGATGGGCATTGGGCATTGATGGGCATTGATGGTTGACAGGCATTGAGGAGGGCACCTGTTGGGATGAGCACTTGGGTGTTGTATGGAAACCAATTTGACAAAAAATTTAATGTTAAAAAAATTTTTTAAAACCCCAAAACAAAAAACAAAATATATGTGTTTATCAATTGATTACATCTGCAAAGCCAAATCACCTTACTTCCAGACACTGTAAGAAATATTTCCAAATTTCTAAGCTAATGTAAATAGATTTCAGATTCCAACACCTCAAATCTCCAAGTTTCATTGAAGTGTTTGGATAAGTCCCTCTCTATTTCAATTCCAATGTTATCTTAATGAACTTCTAAAAATCTTTGTTTTTTTCCTCTCTCTCAGAGAGCCCACATGCATGCAGCTTGGTTTTCTTTTGTAACACTATCATTAATTTCTTTCAACACTCCTACATTTTTCACAAGATAACATTGTTCTCATAATGAATGGCCAAAATCTTGAGCTATTTTTGAGTTTTCAATGATGTCAAGTGACAAACTGCATATATTTTACAACTGCAATATCAACCTCTGTTATCCTACTTTCGGCTCTAATTACTTGTATTTTAGACTATTATAATACTTTCTCAGTTTTTAAAATTAAAACTTGGAAAATAATTCTTGAGAACTTAACTGCAAATATTTACTAAGTCCTGGGGATTCCAAGGAATGGTCTTTGATCTCATGAAGAGTATAACAGAAAAAAACAAAACATAGGCAAAGGCCCCAATATGATCCAATTTATAGAACACACTGTGACACTAATCTTCATTAAACACAGCTCAGATGAATTCTCCTCCATGTGTTCAGAGGAGGAAGGGCAAACATCCTTACATACAGCACTTTTCATACTCTGGCTCCAGCTATATTCTGTTTTGTTATCCCTACATCTCCTTACATGCAGCAGGAATATTACAAAACCTAAATGAATGCTTCTATGTTTATTATGCTTTCCAAGTTCATAATCTTAATAATCTCTTTGTATAAAATGATAGGACATCATAGTGAAGAGGACTTGAGAATGTATTCTAAACCCATCCTTTACAGATGGAGAAGTGATTTTCTCAGCCAGTGATCCAACTGGGACACAGTGGGTTCTGGCTTTCCACTCAAGAACTCTTACTCTGATACCAGGTACCTCCACTAGTAGGGAAGGGAGGTGAATCAGAGGTTCTGTTTAAATGTATGGGCCCACAGTTGTGACATCCAGTGTCTTGATGCACTGTAAGGAACTAGAGAAGATGCAGAGAACACTCCAGCTACAAGCCCTAAGCACCAGTTTTCCTATTCTCTCATATAGAAAAATCATTTCAAAGGGGAGAGGATTAAGAATGACCCTCATATGAAATATGTGAATGGGGTTTCTCAAGAAGTAAACAAGAGAGTAAAGCAGCGGGGGTCAGAACCTTAACCCAGTGTTGACTCTAGGGTTAATTCCTGGGGTATTTCTCTTTTGGATAAAACCCCTTCCCATACTCAGGTATCCCTCTTACTTTGTCCACAAGCCCCAGGGACTGTAATGATCAGCTTCCCTTCCCACCGTAGTGATCTACTGCATATAAGATGGTTTCATAACACATCTAAGACATTAGGGACCAAATATAGCTTCATTTTTCTTTTTCCACAAAGCAAGTAGTATAGCTTTCTAGAACTTTTCTAAAACATTTTTATGCAAGAGGAAAAAGAAAGCTAGGAAAAAATAATTCTCATGGTGGTCACTTTCCCCAGTAAAGTTAGAATATCTATAATAAATGGTGATTTTGGAGACCAGAAGATTATTCTATATTTTAGAGAAAACCCATATTTGGGATAACCTTCAAATTTCATCATAAGAATCAAAGTGAAGCTCGGGGGATAGGGGTGGGGGTGGGGGAATGTCTGTTGTCTTAAGGGAAGGAAAAGGAGATGCTAGGACTTCCAGATGAACTGGAACACACATACACAAGTCTCTGTCCCCTTCTCCCCTTCTTTTCATCATTTCAATCCTACCCATGCAGAACCTTCAGTGGATGGAGCTTTGGTGTAAGATGAAGAGTGACTGTGGGTAATAACATGGGCCATATGAAAATGTATATAGGAAGAGAAAAGACAGCGAAAGGAAGACTAGAAAAATGCAACCCAAAAACAACAAAAAAGAAAGCACTGTTAAGGATGACACATAATACAAAAAGGCAAGAGGCCACCCATAATGACACTAAAAACACAGAGCTTTTACTGAGCCATGTAAAAAATTGTCTTGATTCTTGATTTTGCCCTGATTGTGGCTGGTTCTGTCACTGATAGTAAAGTCTTAATACCATTAGATAGTCAACACATTTCAGTGGCAAAATGTAAACAGAATATTAGAAGAAGAAAAAAAAAAAAAAAACAGTTCGGCTTACATTTTGTCCATTAATGCCAGCCAGACCTGGATCTCCTTTTTCTCCTGGTTCACCCTAGAAAGAAATAATTTATATAATGAAAAATGTTATATCCTGAGATCCTTTACTAAGAAAAAACAAGAGAGTTACATTGTTTAGGTATTTACAACAATGTGATTACTTTGCTAATCCCTTGAAAGAAACATTTATTAAAAAACAATTCTGAGTCCTAAAACCAAAGAGAAGTTTAAAGGTTCAAAGAAAGGCTGCATAAAAATGATTAAACGGTAGAAATAGAACAAGGATTATTTATTTTCTTCTATAAGCAACAAAGAACTTTCTGGAGGGCAATTTGGCAATATGTATCAAGAATTTTAAATCTGTTCATTTAATTTGGTCCAGCAATTTTGCTTCTAAGAATATATCCTAGGGAAATAATCAGAGATGAAAAGTTTCAGGCACTAAATTGAAGAGTGCAATGCTATTTATAATACTAAAAAAAAGAGAAACGTCCTAAATGTCCAGTAATAGGGAACTATTAAATAAATTATGGTATATAGATACAATGGGATATGATGCAGCCATTAAAATCATATTTGTGAATTTTATTTTATAGTATTTAAAAATTCTTATGCTGTAAAAAGTAAGACACCAGGGATTGACAAATTCAGTGAATACATGTTACAAATTCTATTCTATTCTATTCTTTTCTATCTATTCTATTCTTTTCTATTCTATTCTTATTACTTTAGTTACAAATGTTCAAAATGGCCACTAATACTATTGTTTATAACACATATCCATAGTGACACATATTTTTGTTTGATTATCATCTGAAGGATGGATACATTTATTAGCAAATGCTGCATATCTGTAGCATAATTTTTTTAAAAAATTAAATGGCTATGTATCTACCCTTCTAGCTACCTACTTGCCTACCAGCCTATGCATCCACCTACTATGGAACTTAGAAACAATATTTTGTTTCAAATATTTGTTTCAAACCAGAACAGTAAAAGTGGTTGATTTATGGATTCTGTGATTATGGGTGATTTTGTTCCTTCAGCATACTCTTGTATTCAATTTTTTAAAAACAAAACACATGTATTATCTGTATAATTAGTAAAAATATCTAAAAATAAAAGAATATATTATGCATATAAAGAACTCATCCAAGTCACAGTCTATCACATAACACAGTGTGTGTGTGTGTGTGTGTGTGTGTGTGTGCGTGTGTGTGTGTGTGTGAAGTATTAGTAGTATTAGTAGTAGTAGTAGTAGTAACCTCTGCTTTGTGCCACTAGGATGATTTTTATTCTCAATTTATTCTGTTGTTCTTCATTGTTTTCCTACAATGAACACTATTATTTTTATCCAAAACAAAAACTAAAGAAAAGAAAGCACCTGACTTTACAAGATAATGCATTATATACTCTAATAACAGAAATACACATGCGCAGTCCCAATTATCTAAGACTATGTATTGTTACTATATTGAAAACACAGGATATGAAGTAAAATTAACTTGATTACTGGAGTATAAGAAATATACATAATATATAGGATAAACAAAACTATATACAAGTACATTGAGTGAAATAGGTTTAAGTTAGAATAAAGATGAAAAAAAATTTTACATTTATATATTCTTGAAAGAGAGAGAGAGCACAAGTGGGGAAGGGGCAGAGAGAGAGGGAGACACAGAATCTGAAGCAGGCTCCAGGCTCTGAGTTGTCAGCACAGAGCCCAACACAGGGCTTGAACTCACAAATCGTGAGATCATGACCTGAGCTGAAGTTGGATGCTTAACTGACTGAGCCACCCAGGCGCCCCAAGCTGAATATTTTAAACTGAAAATGGAAGGGTGAGGAAATGAGGAAATGCTCTAGAGCTGTGCTGTTCAATGTGCTAGCCACTAGCCCCAGGTGGTGATTTACATTTAAATTAATTAAGATTAAATAAAATTTAAAACTCTGTTCTTCAGTTGCCCTAGCCACTTTCAAGTGCTCAGTGGTATCTACACTATTGGGCTGTGCAGATTAGAACATTTCTGTTATTACAGAAAATTCCATTGAACAGTGCTGTTCTAGAAGATGTCATATATGCCAGAAAGCAAAATAGGAAGTAAGAGACTCAGAAATACACAGAAGAAAATATCTACCTAGTAAGGGGATAAGAGACAACATGGTGTCTAGATGGTGACATAAAATGTGTTCAGCACATGTTAATAGAATGAATTGAAATTTTTGGCACAAGGAGACAATATAATTCCAAAGATATCATCATTAACTTTCAGAATGTAACTCAGAATGAATATAGTCTTTATTCAAAATTAATGGTTTTCACAGGAGGAAAAATAAACAACTCTACATATTAAAGAGATATGTGCCTATAAGGAAATCTGCAACCTTGATAGAGGTAATAAAAGTTAAATAATAATCAGAGAGAGAACAGAGTTGATGATCTGATGGGGTTTATGCTGCATGGCAAGAGGATAAGAGATGTTCCAGAAGGGTAAAGAAGAAACATGCTGCTTCAATTTGATCACTGGCAAAAATCTACAATGGATTTTAAAAAGTATAATTATATAAAAAGCAATAACAGGGGTGCCTGGGTGGCTTAGTCAGTTGAGCATCTGACTCTTGATTTTGACTCAGGTCATGATCCCAGGGTCGTAGGATCAAGTCCTGTATCGGGCTCTGCACTGAGGATAGAGCCTGCTGAAGGTTCTCCTATCTCTCTCTCTCTCTCTCTCTCTCTGTCCCTCTCCCCCACTCCCAACACCCTTCTTGTGAACTCTTTCCCTCTCTTATAAAATAAAATAAAATAAAATAAAATTAAATTAAATTAAATTAAATTAAATTAAGAAAAAAGCAAGTACAGGCCGTTGTGATCAAATAAGGTGGTTCACAAAAAAAACCAAGTCATTTACTTTTTCATTGTTACCAAATCCTTCTATAATGTTTACTACATGTCAAGCATTACTTTAAGCATCTTATAATTCTGTGATAATCCAGCATAAGGATAGGACTATTACTCTCACTTTACAGATGAAGAAACTGAAGACAGAGAGGTTAAGTAACTTGCTCAAGGTCACACAACTAATAAGAGGTAGAACCTGCCTCAGCACAGCTCTAGGGTCTGTGCTCTAAAACTATTAAGCTCATTTGTTTTTGAAACCATCCAGGGATGATAAAAAAATTCAGTGTACATCTGGATTTCTGCAAAGCATGAGGCAAAGTCTCTTCAAGTGCTTCTCAGAGCAGGAAACAGAAATATGGCCCAGGTAATACTACTATTGGTGATTTTGTAACTGGGAGAAGAATGGTACCCAATAGATCTCTCCCACTCCTTCACCTATATGATGGTCTCTTCATCTTGGCATTATTGACAATTCTTTGCTGTGAGGGCTATCCTGTACATTGTAGGATGTTTAACCTCAACCCTGGCCTCTACTCACTAGAGGCCAGTAGTCAGTCTCTCCCCCAGCCTGTCTATGTTCAGTCCTGACAAATAAAAATGTCTCTAAATATTGCCAAATTTTCCACAGAAGATGAAATTACCTTCAGTTGAGAACCACTGATACATTATATATTATGAATATATATGCAACAGATTCAAGACATGAAATGTTACAACAGACTGAAACAATATGCTATAATGAACAATATAAATTTCATTGGGAATAAATGTGCAATCATGCATTTAATTCTGGATGGGTTAAAGAGCTGACTTGAAAATAAAAATATTAAAGGAACAGAAAAAATATAAAGTGAACATAGCTCAGAGCTTATGGTGAGTATGGTGCCTCTAAGTATAGAACCAAAAGAAGAAAATCATAATAGAAAAAATATATTTGACAAAATAATAATTATAAACTTGTAAGAAAAAAATATAAACTAAACTAAAAGGAAAATGACAAGATGGGAAAAAGTATCATATGGTGGCTTAATAGTTAACATTATTAATATGCAAAGAGTTTTGATCATTTATAAGAAAAAGAATAATATCCAACTGGTAACTGAGCATAGAACAAATCAGACAATTCACCATAAGGAATACAGAAGAAATGTTACTTGTGGCAATGAGAAAGAATGAAATATGGCCTTTTGTAGCAACATGGATGGAACTGGAGAGTGTTGTGCTAAGTGAAATAAGTCATACAGAGAAAGACAGATACCGTATGTTTTCACTCTTATGTGGATCCTGAGAAACTTAACAGAAGACCATGGGGGAGGGGAAGGGGGAAAAAAAAGTTACAGAGAGGGAGGAAGCCAAAACATAAGAGACTCTTAAAAACTGAGAACAAACTGAGGGTTGATGGGGGGTGGGAGGGAGGAGAGGGTGGGTGATGGGTAATTGAAATAAATATATAAATAAATAAATAAACAAACAAGCAAACTTAAAAAAAAATGTTGCTTGACAATTCATGTTTTACCAGTATTAATTCATCAGGTTATATGTTAGCACTAGATGAGTTCTAAAACTTCTCCCTTGTAGATCAGAACAAATACTGTTAAAATGTCTACACTACCCAAAGCAATCTACATATTTAATGAAATCCCTATCAAAATTCCACTAGAATTTTTCACAGAGCTAGAACAAACAATCCTAAAATTTGTATGGAACCAGAAAAGACCCCAAATAGCCAAAACAATCTTGAGAAAGAAAAGCAAAGCTGAAAGCATCACAATTCCAGACTTCAAGTTATATTACAAAGCTATAGTAATCAAGATTGTATGGTCCTGGCACAAAAACAGACACATAGATCAGTGTAACAGAATAGAGAATCCAGAAATGAACCCACAACTATGTGGTCTACTAATCTTCAACAAAGCAGGAAAGAATATCCAATGGAAAAAAGACAGTCGCTTCAACAAATGATGTTGGGAAAACTGGACAGCTCTATGCAAAAGAATGAAACTGGACAACTTTCTGACATCATACACAAAAATAAATTTAAAATGGATGAAAGACCTAAATGTGAGACAGGAAATCATCAAAATCCTAGAGGAGAACACAAGCAGCAATCTTTTTGACATCAGCTATAGCATCTTCTTACTAGATACATTTCC